ATTATAGATGTTTATATGTAGYGTTAATGTCAGTAGACTACGTGGTACCCTTTGAAATGGAGTCTGTTAAATACTGGGAGATATAAAAGCTAATCAAGTGGGGTTTGAGTTTTAATGACACTGCATTACTAAGCTTTTGGTACTGGAGTAATGGAAGAGAAATGGAAAAAATCAACATAGAAGCATTTTATTATAAGGGTGAGAGGTGCTTGATACCACTTTAGTTTTTCAAATAAAGTGTATAGAGAAACTAAAATCCTTCTGATCATTACTTTCCTATCAGAAAAAAATGTTTAGGCCAAGTTCTCTTTTCTTTGCTTGCTGACACAGTGGAGTTTCTTTACACCAAAGAAAATCCTGCAGCACTTGCAGACATGCCATACACATGCTGAAATTCAGTGGGTAAAAGGGTTTAGTTTCAGTTTGGTGATAAGTTGCTTTTTACATCCTTTAGGTGTGAGGGTGTAGTTTTGGTTTTAAGCTTGGCTGTGCTAGATTCAARCTCGGTTTAAATCGGGTAAGAAGTGATTTGGCTGCATTAATGTGGATCTGTGGGTGGACTAAAGCACAGAGARCAGGGCTGCATCCACATCATTCTTACAGGATCCCATTAAGTMTTTTTGCCACACTTTTGCTGCTGAATGCCATCCTTGGGCTGGGGAATATTCCAGCCAAATKCCAAGCAGCATTTGGACATGTAATTCTGTCATTAGTAGTGCCAAAAATCAGCGTGTTTCTCCTCAGAGATGATCTCTGACAGCACTGCCCTCAAGTGCTCCACTCAAACACTGACCAATTTGAAATCTGGCCTGCATTCATCAAGGCTCTTAGTTGATCAGAAGAGGACATGTAACTGTATTAATTGCTTTCAGTTGATTGATTGCTTTTTGAACAGTGYTAGAAGCCTGCAAGTCTTCAACATTTTCCCCTTGATGTAGCTTTCCTTTTTTATCCAAAAATACAGTTTGAAAACTTAAAGTATGATTCGATCAAACGTTTAAATCTCACATTCAGGCCTGAAGAGTAACTTATGYAAATCAAATAACCATAAGTAAAATTTTAGCTGTTGATAAATTGCCTTTGCAATGGTGGAAGTGTGTGGAGAGCTGAGGGTGTCTCTGCCCAGAGGTTGAGGAGGGGAGCGATGCCGTGGGACCACGAATTTGTCCGGCTGTACCTGGGAGCTGCTCCTGATGGCTTTTCCACAGATGTCCAGCTTTGTCAAAAACCACTAAATCTTGTGAMGTTTATTTTCTTTATAGCATCTGTGTTTTATAATGGTGCTTTTAATTTGTTTTTTCTTTGTCTGCTGGGATTTCTTTTGTCCGGCACTTTCAGGCCTCCCTTTTTTCCTCGCTGGAAGTGAGTCTGTTTGTGATGGCTGGTTTGGGAATACAGCTCAGCCTGCTCGTCCCTCCCTCTGACAACAAAGCCCATTGTTTTTTTCTTTCTTCACTTTTATCCTCAACTTAATCCATTTTTCCTTTGAGTGTCAGCRGAATAAAATGTCTGGAAAAGCGTGGCTCAGGTTTTGGGGGGATCAGATGGTGGTGGTGTTGCAGACTGTCAGCAAACAGGTCCAAAATCAGAACCATGGATTGGGTTTTCCATGTCTCAGTAGGCAACATTTATCCACTGAAGGGTCCACTTGCAAACAAACTTGTCAGACTGCAGAGCCACAGCATCCTCAGCTTTTTGGAAGTTCCTTAGTAAAATTAATGAGACATTTGCCAGCCTAAATTTGCTTTTGTATTCCATGCACAGCTGTGATATGAAAATCCCCCCATGGCAGCCCATGGAAAGACAAATACWTGAGCCTGTGTCTTGCACAGGGTCCTGAGGGCTCTGGGTGATTACCAAAAGTGCCTCCCTGCTTGGGATGCTCCACTGGAAATGATCCTTGAGTGGACCTCTTTGCCATTGGGATGATTGTTTGCAATGAAAGTTTTCCTGGAGTAGCAGTGGGATGAAATCTGTGTGTGTCAAATCTACAGCCATTTACAGTTAAATGCACTGTCCACATGTCRGGAGGTAACTTGAGTTCAGGTTCTGCTGGATGAAAAATATTGGATATTTCTACTCGACTTAAACTTGGGCTTATTTGTTGCTTGTCCTTTGACAGTGAATCAACAATGGCTTGAGCTGTAGCAATAATGTTGATGCTTGACTGCATTCTTTGTGCTCTTTTGGCCCGATCCGACAGCCCTGTGCACACACAACTCCTGTTTGCTGCTGCAGTTTCCTACTTGGAAGGGCTGCAGGAATGGAAGGGTAATTTTTCGGATTCCTGTACGGATAGAGCAGCACACCAGAAAATYAGGGGGTTTTCTTTAACCTTAATCATCCACACCATCTTAATGCTGTTATAGTCAGATTTTCAAAAACAACTTTCCTGTCAGGGATAATTTCTCTCCTTTTTATAGCATTCCAACTTTTAGTTTTTGGCTGATATCACTTTTAATTAYGTTTTTTGCAGTTAAGCAACTGACTGTTGCAGCAGAAAATGCAGGTTGGCAGGCAATGGTTATTGTGACATATGTTTGGTATTTACAGCTTTTCCATTTGTCACAGCAGAATTTTTTTATCATGTTTGTGCTGTGAAGTGCTGTGCGTTATGAGGTCGGGTTTAGTTAATTTTTTATTGAGGGTTGTATACATAGATTAAGCTATACTTCCAAAAACATAGTTACAAATTAAATGCTTGTCCTCCTGAATGTTTTTTGCGTTTCTTTTTCAAAGAAGAATAATCTTAAATTTTAGCCCCTTTCCAAGTCTCTTTTACACATTTTCATTCTTTCTTTATAGTTTAGTTAGTTTAGTACTTTTTCTTTGTTTAATTATATTTTCTTATATGTGAGTCTAAAAATTTGTAAGATGATGTTCCCACAATTAATAAAAAACTCTGAAAGGGTGAGTTAATCCTGCAGTTTTCTGAGTATCCCTAACTGCCGTGGGATTCCTCAATTTGTATGGGCACTCATCCTTGTGTAGGATGGATGTCTGTAAATTCCTCATTTCTCTGCATGCAAATATTCCATTGAGTCAGCTGAAGGATTTGCATAAGGAAAACCACGTGAATTTGGGATCGGAGGGCACTGGGACATTAAATGTGCCTTGAGAGGGGAGAGGGGCTGTTCCTTTGGATCAGTGTCTCAGAGTTAATCATTATATTCTGAACAAGTTAAAAAAAAAACAAATTACAGACATTTGCAGYCCCCTCAGTGGATACTGTCAGTGTTTGCTGTGCCCATGTGGATCCTAGGGAATATGGGARAGGGAAACACTTCCAGAGAGACCTTGATTGCAGGAACAGTAAATAATTAGACAATAATTCACAGAACTATTCTTACGCCTTCCTGCAAGAAGCAAAAATGCATTATTAAACTCATCTTAAAAAAAATTAATTGCATCTCAGTCTTATTTAAAACTGAGCTGGGTTTTTTTTTTTTTTTTTTTCCATTTTCCCTTTTCTTTTTATTCCAAGTTGGTGCAGGAAAATTGCTATTAATGAAATCTGCTCTCTGGGAACTTCAATAGGCTTGTTCTTCATTAAAGGCATGCTATTTCTCTTAAAACGTATTGATGGATGCTCAGGCCACRTACTTACCCCAAAATACACTTTGTAATTTCATCATTTCTGTTATTGTGCTTCTTTGAGATGCAGAGGTCTGGGGATTTTGCAGAAAAACCCAAATAAAACCACTGAGCTTACAGTTATATAGTATTAAAAGAAGGGTGAAGGAAACCTTGAGTGTCTTTAGGATGATGAGACATTCATTAAGATTTTTCCGCCTTCCTTTTCCTATTTTCAATCCCTCTGAAGTACCATTAAAGCTTTTCAGGCAGCTTCCTGTGAGAAACCCTTTGCTGTGCTGTTTTTCTTCCTTGAAAAAAGGTGGCTGCTCTTGAGGCAGATTGTATGGATTTGGCCTGGGATTTGTATAATATCTGTGTAGAATGCATCGGTTGTTTAGGAACCTAATTCCCAATATGGTTCCCTTTTGATTAAGAACAAAGCCAGCGTTTCACAGCATTATAGGAACACAGAAAAACAAGTTAATGATCTAAACCTTTTAATTCATGGTTGCTTGTCTATTTAAAGTACTTTTGATTCTGCWATAAACAGACTGGCCCCTTTTTTTGTTTAACTTCTTTCTTTGGTTTCTTCACATTTCTTTCTTTACTGTCCATGAAATTTGGAGCTAGTTTCCTTTTCCAAGTGAAGAATGAAAGGTTGTGACTACAGAGTGATACAGCGAGTAAGAAAGCGTATCCAAACTGGGCGTCCATCCAGCACAGACCTCTTTGAAACCAGCTAAATTTAGGGTTGTTGAGGCTTTTTTTGATATGTTTTCCCTTTCCTATTTTTTTCAGTACCTATGTTTCATTTTCTTCTTTTTGAGTGAATATGAAATTTGTTACTTTTTTGATACTTTCTTGATTTTTACATCTAGTTTGGCGTGGCTTTATTTGATGTAGTTACTTGATATTTTCCTCCAGTCTGAGTTCTGCAGATGATTATTCTGCGTGTCTTTATCCATCGAGACAACAAAAGCGACCTTTTCAGGACTTCCAATTACCAACACTGTATGTGGTACTTTAGGAAAATAATTCCCTTCCAGATACTTCTTTTTTTTTTTTTTTTTCAAATAGAGAATTGGAATCCAGAGTTTGTCCTTCAAATTGAACTCGAAAACTTTTCCGTGAACAAAACTGCCAAGCAAGCAGCAGCAGCAGGAATAATTTCCCTTGCATGGAAAGGAATCCTTCCTTATCCCCATTTATAAAATTAGTATTTGCTGCTTCCATTGTAATTTATTCATTATCTGAAATGAAGATTAAATTTTTAGATGTTTTCTTTTTTTACCACAGAAACTCATTACTTCTTTTTCTCTTTTTTTTTTCTTTTACTTTTTGATCTTATTTCAAGCAGATGTAGCAATGAYTAATGAAGAAAAAAATTCCAATAATGTGTTTTATTACATCTCTATCCCATCAAGGTAAATTGAACAGCCAAGACACTTACAATAACTTCACAAACAACAATCCCGGCAATCCTCGGCTCCTGCCTCTCCCAAGCCTGACTGTGGTGTTGCCTCTTGCTCAAATCAAGCAGCCAATGACATTAGGGACCATCACCAAACGCACAGGGTAAGTGGCACAAACCTTTCTTAACCTTTATGATTCATGTGGARATCATTTGTGTTATTAGTGAGAATTAGTTTTATTCCGTGTTTTTCATTTCAGTGTATGGAATTTAATGGCAGAAGGGGGGTGGGGGGAAAAGGAGGCTGAAAACCAACACCAGATAAGTGAATATAATCTGAAAACAAACCTCTGTAAATTCAGGAATATTCATTTGGGTGGGTCAGGAGAAGTTTTCACACCAGGAATTGGAATGAAACACAAGCAGAGCTGTATTCAATCAGAACAAAATATGGTTTTACTTTTTTTTCTAAGTTTGTTTATTTTGATTTCCARCCTTTTCAAGCAGAAATGATTTTTGACCATCAGAGCTGGAAATACAGTAAGCCAGGTTGAGCAGAAATGCAAAACTTAATCCTGCTGTTTTCTTGACCTTGTTTTTCCTCTGTTGCACTGTTCTGGACTGGGTAATTCACGTGTGGATTTCCACTCCAGAGCCAGCTGCACTTTGGTACTTCTCATGTGCCATGATAAAGCACTTCAAAATATTTGTTGGGAAAAGTTCCTCTAAATACACATATAATTACTAAGAAGATTTTATGAGTTTCATAAACCATAGCAATTTTGAATTAATTGATACTTTCCAACAGCTGATAATTTTCTCTTGCTAAATTTGAAACTTTTTTTAATCTCAATTAAAGCTACAGAGTGATGATTACATTTTTCCTCTCTCATTTTCTGCTTGTTTGAATTCCTGAATATTTTCTAGTTAAAAATCTGATYGATCCATTAGTTTACAGAGGGCTTTTATATTTTTAAGGAAAGTAGATGGAGCATGGCATGTGGCTGGACAAAACAACTGAGAGTCCTACAGCTTCCTAACATTTTCCTGCATTTTGGCAAACACAGGCACTGCCTCCCTTGCTTCAGTGCTTTTTTGCTCAAACCCTGCTCGTGAGGTGAATTTTCCCTTGTGTTTCATGAACCGGGAATTATTTTCCAGGCGAGARCTCACGGATATTCCCTCTCTCCCTGAGTAATTCCCATATTCTGTGCTTGAGCATTCAGGACACCCTGTAAAATGCTGTAAAATACTGTTGGGTGTGCTGGGTGTGCATGCTGACAGTCAGAAGCTGAGCTGTGTGTCCGTACATGTCTGTCCAACAATCCGCTCCTGCCCGTGCCGTGAAACGGGAATTTCACGGCGCTTGTTGAGCCAAATCGCGAGCCACGAACGCGCAGTCGCCCCCAGCACAGAGCCTGCCTGGGGAGAAATTCCTGAACTTCACAGATAATTGTAAATGGAACTTAGTTGGAGGGTCATGGTGAGGTTTAGCTTCCTCCACACACGCATTTCACTGGCTTATTTTTGTCATTTTAGTTTTCCGCTCGTGGTTTAAACACAGGTGAGGGAAAAAGACTGTGCTACTGCTCAGGTGAATTTAGGAAGCCTGTCCAGGTGAGATCCTGGAGGAGGGAAGGGAAGTGGGATCAAGGGAGGTTGTCACAGGGCAGGAAATCACAGTTCCTCCAAGAGGGGAAATACCAAAAATGTGACTTGCGAAATGTGGCCAGTGAAGGACAGAAATGKTAAATGTGGGCTCTCAGAACTGGAACAGAAGCTTAGAACCAGGTGGGACACAGCAGAGAAAGAAATTAMAAMTTCACCTGAGGGCCTGCCASRGGAGGGAGGTGATAGGAGCAGTGARGAGAAGGATTTGGAAAAAAGCTCTTGGTTTACAATAGWAATTAATGTAAAATTCATTACAAAGGTTTCCTTAATGCTGTGGTGATGCCAGCAAATCTTTCTAAAATTATTGCAACTGTAGTAAGTCTGCAATATTTTATTTAATGTTTTATTCTTAAACATAAGCATATTCGGAGTGTTCATATTCATAGTTTTCCGGTAAATTATACTATTCACAGACTGTCTCTGTTCCATTTTATGTAATTTTTAAAACTAATTAAATTTAAAATGCTCAGTGAGGCTTATGTAAGGGGGGAAAACAACAGTCATGGGAAATACCCTGCTGTGTAAATAGAGTTTTCATGAATGAGGATCATAATTTTCAGCACAGCCCACGTAGCCTTGTAAAGCTAAGCCGAGAGCTTCCTTCATTTGTTCTGCATCCAAAATATTTGATGAAAGTACACAAAATTAACATGAAAAGCTGTTATTTATAAAGCAGGGATTTAAGAGGAATGCCTAGGATCCAAGAAGCCTGGCATGCCTAAAATGACCAAATTGAGACAGCAGCCTTAACTTAAACCTCCAGGGGGCAAAGCGTGTGTTTAACATATTTAACATCTGCCCTCATATTTCTGCAAACACATAGCACTGGAAGTCTGTGCAGTGTAATATTTCGACAGGACAGGGACCATCTGCCTCGCTGGGAGAAGTGGAGGAGGCATGTATTACTGCAAATGGCAAAAGACAGATGTATTTACACCTACATGGTCAGCACCTCTAAGCGCTGCTCCGAGGAAACAAGGCTCTTCCTTGGGAGCAGCTGCTGAACCTTGCGATTGTGCAGCGATCGCAGAAGGAGCTCGGCATCACTCGGCTTTTCCAGCCTCTGCTCAGCCGCCCTCAGAGCAGATTCCTCTCCCCGTGCTTGTGACTTTTAAAGAATTAAAAATTTAATGGGTTGCAGCACATTTTTCTAAAAGGAAAGAAAGCGAGGCTAAAATACCGTATAATTAGAGGGCTGGATTTGTCTGTTTTATTTGCTTTTAACATTGGCTGCTTTAATATTAAATCTTCGTGAAGTCTTGTAGGTTTTATTAACCAAAAAGTCAAGTTGGGGTTTGTTCTGCCGGTATCCAAGACAGCAAAATATTTTCCAGGTACTGAAAGGACTGATCAGTGCTCTTAATATCATGTGTCTGGAGCAGAGCTGCAAAGCATGTCAKGTTGCTTGACAGGTGGAATGGCAGTAAATTTTTTAAAAGTGYTCCCTGTAGCCCTATGGGAATGAAAGACCGAGTCTGGAATTGTGTCATGACCGTGCTGTTCATCACAGATACTTTTTTTCCCCTGCAAACATGTAGATTTTGGAACACTTTCTGATCAGTGCCTGCTTTCAGTACAGGTCCCATTGTCAGCACGAGGCCTTTTGGAGCATCCCCTCTGCCTTCCATCGCTGTCCTTCCCTCCTTCCCTGCCCTCTGCTTCTTCCCTCACTTTTTCAAGTCTCCCATTGTAATTTCCGCACCTTCATCAAGCACTTAATTTTTGTCCCTACATTTTGTCATCCCATTGACTGGCTTTCCTGTAGTTTGTGCTGTCAGCACATTCTGAGGAGCAGGGAGGCTTTCCCAGAGGGGCTCTAACACTAATGAGTGAGGAAGCTTCTGATGTTTTAAAGATTAGGGGGGGATGCAAGACAGCACAAGAGCTGGAATTAATAAGTCTTTCTATATCCATGCCTCAGTTTCCCTCTCAAAATTTTGATACTAATGTTGGATTCCTTGTCAAGGCTGGTGAATGGGTGAATTCATTGCTCATTTACAAAGAGCTTATAGATTTGAAAGGGGAAAAGCTGTATGATCCATCTCGTTGTCTATGAAAGGCAGTGAATAAGAACATTCTAGAAGTCAGCTTTGTGCTCTGCAGTAGCTCCAAAAGTGTTCCCTGTGTTTGTGGAATGAGTTGAAATTGTTTCCAGTGGGGACATGGATGAGCTGCAATGGGAAGGGGGGAAAGAAAAGATACAATAATTGCCCCAAAAGAAAAACKGTTGTCAAAGTTGGCTCCTCTGACAGCAGCATTTGTTTTATCTCCCTCCAGGGACACGGTCATTATATTTGTATCATACTGCACTCCCCAATCCATCCTCGCTGAGTGAGGATGGAACCTGCATTAGCTGGGTCTTGTCAAAACACAGAAATCCAGTGTGCCTTACAGGAAAGGGATAAACCTTGTTTTTTTTCCAGCCAGGAGATTTAGGTAGTGTATTTTTAAACATGAAACTCTATCCCTTCTTCATCCCATCCCTCATTCCACCCTCAGTGAGGAAGGGGGAAGTAGGTAAAGTGTCTGATGCAATCTCATCATTTTAATTTTCTGTGCACAGAAAGTCACTGATGTCTGTTGAGTTTATTTTGTGTCAGAGAGCTTCATCTATCCCAGGGTCAACTACTGCAGCAAACAAAAATCAGGAATGCAAAATCATCATGTTATGGTACAATTAATTAGAAAAAAATAACTGTAAAAGTAGTAAAAAAGAGTAAAGCTGAACAATTCAGCACAATTGTCTGAAGCCAGACATTCCCTTTCTGGTACATTTCTCAGATGTGTTTTATGTCACCTTTAGTTTTTATAGCATATTTTGATAATAAAGCAACTGCTGTAATGATTTGGAMTTGATAATAAATGCAATTATTTGCACTAAAGTTTGTTCAGGTGCCACTGTTTGTGGAGATTCTTGATATGGCAATGTACCATGTTGAGGTTTAGAAAAATGCCTATTACCCAGCTTATTAAAAGCTTAAACAGTTTTATTAAACATAATAAAATGAAATCAAAGTGTTTCAGTTTTTAATTCGCTAAAACTCAGAATCAGGTAAGAAACTGCAAAAATTCTGTCACAACTTTGACTCGTGAATCATCTTCATTCCATAATTTCCTTTGGAATTTCTCCCTAGCTCTGGGAAATGGGAACCTGGGTGAGTTTTTGCTTTGGCATTGCTCTCTTGCTGTCACCGAGCRCAGCCATCTGGTGCTGTCTCTTCAAGGTTGGGTTATCCTGTAATTTGTGGATTCTCTCTCGCTCTCAATTAGCATTCCATCCATATTATGTGTAGGAAATAGTGGCAAACAATTGCTTATATAAATATCAGAGGGAAAAAATGGTCATCTTTAAAGAAATTAGGTCTCGTGAACACAAAGGAAATACTAAGTTGGTTTTCTCACACTTAAAGCTTTTTACTAAGGCTGATGTAGTCATTATATTTTCTTCATGACACAAAAATTTCTGTCAATTTCCATCCATTTTCTATCCAAA